TTATAGAGTTTCCAATTAGTATTGGCTTTATAGTTAAGCAAGTTAAAGTGCTAAATTACTTTATAAAGTTCTCTCAATCGAGAGAATTCGTACGTCGTCATATAAATAAGTAGCTTCTAGTGTCTTGTGCGATCCGACTACTTATAATTTTATTGATTTTAAATTAGTATAACCTATCAATTACTTCGTGTGTATGCATTTAATTGTTTGTGAATGTAAAGAATGTGGTCCATATTTATCGGAAGACACTAGATAGTCAATATATATATAATTTATAAAATATTCTGTTACAAAACAAAACACTAATTACATGGAGTGGTCTAAAACCACAACCGAATATTGGAAATCAGAAGCTGTGGTCCTTAATCTCTTACTCTTAGTCATAGACTGCCACAATTGTTGATGTCATGTATGTGTTTATTCATATTATAACAGAGGGCTGACACTCATTCCAATATATACCATATATGGCTATGATTAAAGTAGATGATAAATTTACCCACACAAATGTGTATACTAATGTGTTAAAAATTCATTTAAATGTGCCTACATGTATTCCACTTCTTTACTCAGAAGTTTACGTGTTCACATATTTTATAAGAATCCTTTGCCAAATGGCATGACAATTTATATGAACGAAATGAATATTTGGTAAAACATGTTCAGCCGGAAAAAATAATAATCTGACGTTGGCTTTTAGACTAATTTCTGGAATTCAGTACGGCGAAACAGAAATAGATTTTGTAACCTTGATTAACAAAATGTTACACCATTGAACTACTATCACTTGATCACTTGAACTTTCTTATAAAATTTGGAGAAGCTTACAGATTTATGTCATTTTAGCAAAAGCCAAGCTGATCTTCTTGAAGCCAAAGCTAAATAATCTTCTATCATTCCAAGTTTATCAATATCTCCGACGATATTAAGGATGAAGAAGATAGGCCAACTCTCAAGTCGATAATACAAGATATCAAACGTTTACTCTCCCATACCGAAAGTGTCATTTTA